CGGACACTGTGGGTGTAGGGGCTCCTTGTGTACAGTGAACACCACACGAGCAGTGCCGGACACTGTGGGTGTAGGGGCTCCTTGTGTACAATGAGCACCACACGAGCAGTGCCAGACACTGTGGGTGTAGGGGCTCCTTGTGTACAGTGAGCACCACACGAGCAGTGCCGGACACTGTGGGTGTAGGGGCTCCTTGTGTACAGTGAGCACCACACGAGCAGTGCCGGACACTGTGGGTGTAGGGGCTCCTTGTGTACAGTGAACACCACACGAGCAGTGCCAGACACTGTGGGTGTAGGGCCTCCTTGTGTACAGTGAGCACCACACGTACAGTGCTGGACACTGTGGGTGTAGGGGCTCAAGGTGTACCACAATCACCACACAACACACGAGCCGCCCTCACTTGAGCTTGTGTTAATGTGCGGTAAATGGGGCCGGCGTGTTATCAGCGGGACGCCTCTGGTATCTTGGGCAGTGACCCCCCACTATACTACCATAACCTCATTTTCCACTCCTGCTGCTTCTGACGTCCGGGTACTCACCTAAATGGTGAAACACTGCTCCGACGTCCGGAGCTATGCAATAGCTAATTGCATAGCTTTCCTATGCAGTTAATTCATTGCACCATGCTCAGTATATATGACTCATTATTGTCACCTGTTGTCAAGGACTGATAGCCTCTTACGGTAGTCTATATAGGTCCTTCTAGGCCAATGGCATTATAGGATCTCAACAACACAGATTAAACTTTCCAAAAATGGTTACACACTTGCAACAGATTTAGAAACGGCAACTGAATTTAATGGCTTCTTCTCGTCACTTGGTGTTAATCATGCCAAAAAACACATTGACCCGGATACATGTACTCCTACATATCTCACGGAAGCTATCCTAACTCGACTTCTTTTGCCAATGAGCCTGACATTATATATAAAATCTACTCACTTAAAACTAAAGCTGGAAACATTAGTGAAATACTAACAATAGTATTTATTTATTTATTTATTTATTTATTTATTTATTTATTTATATAAAAGAAGGTACATTGGGTTTGTGAGAATACATTGGATAGTACAGTATTTACACTCTTGCAAAGAAAGCTACTAGTACGCGCAGCGTTTCGGGCAGGCCCTTAATCTAACAGATAATTTTAAGTAGGTAAATTCTATCAGAATTAATAAAATGATAACAAATACATTGCAAAAAAAAATTGAGATGAGAGAGATTAGTAAGTATATTAAAGCACATTGGTATATTAAAGCTCTGATTGATTACATTGACAGCTTGATTGGTAATTTAAACAAGATTAATAGACACCATACAGCAGATTGACAGCACATGTAAGAAGACAGCAATGATCACAATGATAAAGATGTTCAGATTGGGTACATAAAGATTGGGAGGTTGGGTAGCAATAGATACAGTGCAATTTTAAAGCAAAAGGTAAAAAACTATGAAGATGAAATAAGGTACTTTTTAGTATTGTTTTTGAATGACGATAAAGTTGGACAGCTTTTCAATTCAATAGGGAGTGAGTTCCATGGACTGGGTCCCTTTATTTGCATAGAGTGTTTACACAGATTAAGTTTGACTCTGGGGATATCAAAGAAATATTTATTTCTGGTGTGGTGATAATGGGTCCTATTACATCTGTCCAGGAAGAGTTTCAGAGCAGGATTTACATTTAAGAACAGGGTTTTGTAAATGTAGTTGACACAAGAGAATTTGTGGAGTGAGATTATGTTTAGTATGTTTAGGGAGTTAAACAAGGGGCCTGAGTGTTGTATGAAAGCAGAAATTTGTTATTATTCTGATAGCAGATTTTTGCTGGGTGATGATGGACTTGAGGTGGTTTGCAGTGGTTGAACCCCATGCACAGATACCATAATTAAGATAGGGATAGATTAGTGCATAATATAGAGAGATGAGAGCAGAGTTAGGTACATAATATCTGATTTTGGAGAGTATACCAACTGTTTTAGAGACTTTCTTAATTATGTGTTGTATGTGGGTACTGAAGTTGAGTCTCTTGTCTAGGAATAGGCCGAGAAACTTTCCATCATTTTTATTGCTAATGTTTACATTGTCTATCTGAAGCTGAATTGCATTTGTAGATTTGCTTCCAAATAAGATGTAGTAGGTCTTTTTTATGTTAAGTGTTAGTTTGTTGATTGACATCCATAAGTGGACTTTTTTTAGTTCATTATTAACAACATCATTTAGTGTATGTGGGTTGGAATTAGAGTAGATGAGGGTACTATCATCAGCAAACAAAATAGGTTTCAGAATGTTAGAGACATTAGGCAGATCATTGATGTATATAAGAAATAGGGGAGGCCCCAAGATGCTGCCCTGTGGCACTCCAACGGTTATTGGTAGAGTGGGAGAGGTTATATTATTGATGGTTACACATTGGAGTCTGTCACTAAGATAGGATTGGATATAGTCCAGTGCATGGCCTCGGATTCCATAATGATGGAGTTTACGTTAGAGGAATTGTGATTAACAATGTCAAAGGCCTTTCTCAGGTCAATGAAGAGTCCAATCGGAAACTCATTTTTGTCAAGGGCTGAGTAAATTATATCAAGAAGACTAATAATTGCATCGTTGGTACTCTTTTGGCAGTGGAAGCCAAACTGACAGGGGCTAAGAATGTCGAATTTTACGAGATAGGAGTAGAGCTGTTTGTATATAATTTTTTCAAATATTTTTGATAGGATCGGTAGGTTATAAAACTATATAAAAGTGCTCCTCTTTTACATATATATATATATATATATATATATATATATATATATATATATATATATATATATATATATATATATATATATATATATATATATATATATATATATATATATATATATAGGTATATTTTGGTAGCAGTCCTTCTTGTAAATATATGTTGTTAAATATGACTGAAAAAGTAAGATTAATAATTCTAACACGAATTTTCTCAGTATGTCTTATGTTTCTTTTTACTGTCGATGGTAATTGAAAAATCAATTCTCCAAAATTCATTTTTATTTCTAGTCTGACGCGACGCTTGAACGCGTTTCGTAATAACTTATTACATTTTCAAAGACTTTGGTTTACACACACACAACTATAACCTGCAAACACTAAACAGAGTCAGCAAATCTGTCATACTTATACTCGCATTTGGGTGAGGTGATATGGTGCAACAGTTTTGGATGAGGTGAACAAACTTGTGACAAATACAAGACAGAACACGGAACAATGGGTATTAAAAAAAATGTATATGAGAGCATAAGAATGGAAATAACTGCAGAGGGCCTATTGGCCCATACTTCCTCTTATAATATTGAAGCAGCAAGAAGAAGTATGGGCCAATAGGCCTTCTGTTTCTGGTGTGGTGCCCATGAGTTCTGTTACAACCTTCTAGAAAGCGTTAAAGGTCAGGATTGACATTATAATTCAGAGTTTTAAATATATAGAGTACACAAGAGAGGATGTGCAGTGACTTAATATCTAACATATTCAGAGATTTGAGTAGGGGTACCGAGTGCTGTCTGGGGCCAGAGTTAGATATTGTTCTAATAGCAGCTTTGTGTTGGGTAATTAGAGGACGTAAATGATTTTGGGTAGTAGAACCCCAAGCACAAATACCATAGTTGAGATAAGGATAGATGAGAGAGTAATAGAGCGTCACCAGGGCAAGGCGAGGTACATAATATCTGATCTTAGAAAGAATGCCAACAGTTTTAGAAACTTTTTTTGCTATATTTAGAATGTGTCCCTGGAAATTCTGCTTGTTATCGACGAGGACACCAAGGAATTTACCATCAACTTTACTTCTGATTTGTATATTGTTTATTCTTAGAATAATTTCTAAGGCTAAGCTAGTCTAGGCTAGTCCCTAGGCTAGTCCCAGAACTAAGAGGCATGAGTTACGAAGAAAGTCTGCGAGAAATGCACCTCACGACACTAGAAGGCAGAAGAGTAATGGGAGACATGATCACTACCTACAAAATTCTCAGAGGAATTGACAAGGTACATAAAGATAAACTGTTTAACACGGGTTGTACGCGAACAAGGGGACACAGGTGGAAACTGCATGAGTACCGAAATGAGCCACAGGGACGTTAGAAATAACTTTTTCATAGTAGTTAACAGATGGAATGCATTAGGCAGTGATGTGGTGAAGACTGACTCCATACATAGTTTATAATGTAGATATGATAGAGCCCAGTAAGCTCAGGATTTTTTTTTTTTTTGAGATATATACAAGAGTTGTTACATTCTTGTACAGCCACTAGTACGCGTAGCGTTTCGGGCAGGTCCCTGGAATACGATCCCCTGCCGCGAAGAATCGTTGTTACAACCAAGTACACATTTTACTGTTGCGTTAAACAGAGGCTACAGTTAAGGAATTGCGCCCAGTAAATCCTCCCCGGCCAGGATACGAACCCATGACACCAGTACATGAACCCATGAATCTGTACACCAGTTGATTGACAGTTGAGAGGCGGGACCAAAGAGCCAGAGCTCAACCCCCACAAGTACAACTCGGTGAGTACAGGGAACACTGGGTAGCAAAACCAAAAACTCAGCCCCCAACTAAAACACAAAAGTCACCCAGTGCCCCCCGGCAGGGCAGAAGCGAGCCGCCCACCAGGGCTGAGGGCCCTCCAACCCCAGGCACCTCTCAGCCCAGCCGGCGCCGGACACCGCCGGGAGAACCAGCCGGAAACGTTCAGAATCTATCAACTATGCAGACGAGGAGTCACAATAACGTGGCTGAAATATGTCGATTGTGACAATCAACTTGAGAATGGTCCAGGACAGACCGAAACGTCGTCGTCCCTTCACTTTCCAGTGTGTGGTTTGGTCAGAATCTATCAGTTATCATGTCACCCTGGCGATATGTGCTCCAGGCGTCGTAACAACCCGGACCGTTGAACAGGAATGCCAAACAGCAATATCATAATCCAAAATTGCGAAACAACGTGATCCGGCGACTTTTAGGCGGAGGTGTTGGGTGTCCGCTCGTCGTCAAGGTTGAACCAGGAGTCCCAGGGACGGGTGGGAGTCCCGGGCCCGAGGCTCCGGCCGCCACACGCCGTGCTGTAGCTGCCCCCACCCCAGCAACAACAACAACACCTCACCATGACCTCAGCTACAAGGCTCCCCTACAGGTACTCCTGTGCTTGTGTCTTCTCCCACACCACGGGAGACATCTCCCGTCACGCAGGGTGCAGTCGCACCTCCACACATCTCCAGTATCACCTCTTGATACTGGTAATGGCTCAAAAGGGCCACCACTTACGGGCTATTCATGCCCGTGCCATCTTTTTAATCTTCATCACTCAGTCATCTCCCACACCCTCATACAAGGCATTCATACTCCTCCAGTGTATAACAAGGACGCCACTTTGGCTCATATTGTTATGTTTTTGTATAATTATGTTTTCTCATGTTCTGCATCCAGCACCAACATCACATTCAGTCCCTGAGCCCATTGTGTGCCTCTGTAACCCTTTCGACTACCGCCCACAAGATGTGTATGGGGTGCATAACAAATGAACTAAACATTATAGTGAGAATTTACCATATTACTTCATTACTTACATAATGCTTGGAGGGTTTGAGTAGCTTAGGGTCTTTAGGTGGACAGAATCTCCAATAGATGGGGTGAGAGTCACCCCATCTCTCGCCCAGGCGAGAGTCAAAACTTAAATTAAAATTGCTGTATCTTTGGTCTCCAACAAGATATATTTCCTTTGGTGCACTCACAATAATGATTATAACTCAGTCTTTCTGGAGACATGTAATATTTTAGGCTTTATTAGCATATCTTTGTTATTACACAATATATCGGCAAGTGCGCAGGCATCTGCACCCCATGCCTGACAAGCTACTGAATGCCACTATAAAAACATATGTATCTTCACTTCAGCTTTAAATATGTCTATTGTAATGTATTTAAAATGAAGCTTATATTTCTATCTTTCTTAAGACATATAAAACATTTGTGTTTATTAACGAATTTACATGAAATAAACATTGTTCTGAGAGAATTGCTCTGTCGATCAGTCTGTGCGGGGGTCGGAGCTCGGTGATTATTTAAACACGTGAATCTTCATTAGAACTTTAATTATGTCTATGGTAAAGTGTTTAAAATGAACCTTATATTCCTATCTTTCTTGAGGCATATAAAACATTTATGATTATTTACACATTTACGTGAAATAAACATTTATTTATTTATTTATTTATTTATATACAAGAAGGAACATTGGGATTGTGAGGATACATAGCATAGTAATTACATTCTTGTAAAGCCATTAGTACGCGCAGCGTTTCGGGCAGGTCCTTAATCTAAGAAAATTTTAAGTAGGTAAATACTTGCAAAATTTATAAAAATGATAACAGTTACATAGCAAGAAAAAAATAAAAGATGAGAGAAACTTGTAGGTATATTAAAGCACATAGGTAGCTTAGATTGATTGCAATGACAGCTTGAATGGTAGTTTAACAAAAATTAGTAGGCACAATACAGCATAGGGCTAGCACATAAAAGAAGACAGCAATGAACACAATGATAAAGTTGTTTGGATTAAGTACATAAAGATTGGGAGATTGGGTAACACTAGATACAGAGCAAATTTGTTCTGTTCATTGTTCTGAGAGTGAGAGTTGCTCCGTCGATCGATCTGTGCGGGGTCGGAGCTCTGCGATTACAAAAGTACACGTATTTTCGCTTTAAATTTAAATATGCCCATGGTAAGGTATTAAGGTATTTAGAATGACGCTTATATTTCTATCTTTCTTGTGACATATAAAACTCTTACGTTTATTAACGAATCTGCGTGAAATAAGCCTTGTTCTGAGATGAATGCTTCGGGTTTCGAGCTCGACGAGCGATGAAAACTGCCACTTTTATACAACTACAAATATCTTCAGTTTTACTTAAAATATTTGTCTGGTAGAGGTTTTACATATAGATCCCATTTTTGTCTTTCTTTTGACTAATAAATAATTTTGGTTTAATAAGTTATCAAGATGTTTTCAACAATATTCTTTCAGTGTTCATCTATTCCAACATGGGCGACCCTTTTGGAAACGCGATACTTGGGTTGACCCATCCCATAGTCGGATTTGATTCCAACAGGGGTTTGAATAGATACACTGTACAGTTTGGTTCATTCTCGACTCAAAATCGGGATCTCTGGGTTCGAGTCCTGGGCGGGACAGAAATGGTTGGGCACGTTTTCTATCACCTAGTGCTCTGTTCACCAAGTAGTAAATATGTACTCAGGAATTACCCAGCTTGTTGTGGAGTTACATTATAGGGGGAGGGGGGTCAGTAATTCGACCTTGGGGGACTTCATAATAAACCCAACATGTAAAAATTCACTGGCTGCCTGAACCCCAACACAATGAAATAATTAATTATAATTAGTGCAAATGTTGTATCTCACAATCTGATGAGATTCCACAAAGACATAATTTTCTGATTCTAGGGCAGCTGGGTTGATGATACAGTATTTGCAACTAAACTCCTTTAGGGTCCTATAGTGCATTGTCTGTCCTCAGCTCACTGTTGAGGGACCCGGGTTCAATCCCCAGGCAGAACAGAAATGGTTGGGCACATTTCCAGTCACCTGATGCTTAACTTCCTGGTACTTATTTACTCTTGGGTGAGCAGAGGTATCGGGTAATAGGAAATGTGCCTGACTGTCTCATCCTGCTTGGGGATCAAATGGACCTTTCACGTGTGACCTGAGTGCACAGACCACACTATGAGAGACGACAATGTCACATCCCTGCACTGTGGGAAATTGCCCACTTTCTAAATTATTATTCCTCCCTTCCCTCCCAAGAAGATAATTAAAAATAAACCTATGCTTTGACTTGAAACAAAGTTCATTGTACAATACCTTAAGCTGCCAGGTTGATGCTCTGCTCACTGAATGCTCCCACTCCCAAACCATTTACAGATGATTTCCCCTGCATCACTGCACTGGTGCCGCCAGAATGACATTGTGATGATGACATTTCCTATACGGTATTTAGTGGGACGTCTGTAATAATATCAGAGCTTACACTATTAAGATAAAGTTATATACCAGATTCCCCAGCTTGGTGCCTTTTTTGATAATTACTTATATACCAGATTCCATACACTTAATTAAAGTCATGTGCGAAGAATTGAGATATAAAATGAGTGCTCTAAAACTCTTACTCCTATGTCAATAATAAAGTTAAATGCTCTAACCTACTTAACAAATGTGATCTGACTTAAGCTCTGCCCATTCCTACCCCCTTTTCGTATTCTTACCTTTCCTCTTATTCTTACATTCATCCTATTCTTACCTTATTACCTTTCTCATACCTGCTCCTCACCTCTCTTCTCGCTCTTATACAGTATATATTTTTGCCTGTACCCTCCTCTCTTCTGTTAAACAACTTGATAATGGTCCAGGAGGGGCCGAAATGTTGTCATTTCTTGTCACTTTCTGATGTGTTGTTTGGTAATCATATTTTCTGCCATGTTATTGTGACTCATCGTCTTCAATAAAGCAAATTTGTTAAATTACAAACCTTAATTGGTTACATTGTCCTCTGTCAGCAAGACCAGTATTTTAAGAGAAATAATTAATTTTGGGTGAATCAAGATACATTTATCTTAATGTTACACTTATTATTTACTGGGATGATAATGTGTAGAATATGATTAACTTTATTTTAGAATTATTTTTAATTGTAACAAGCATTTTTTAATGTTTTGATGTACAGTGTTGTATTATTATTAAATTGCAGGACATGGAAATTTTTTGCTTTAACTTATTATTATATGAATTATTTAATAATTCATTTAATAATAATTCATTGTGTCACGGGATAAGCAGCCAATGTGTATATACTGTATGTGTAAGGCTAATATCAAAGTCACTCCCAAGGTTGAATTAGTGACCTCCCCAGGATGGAACCCCACAACAAGCTGACTAACTCCTGGGTACCTATTTACTGCTGGGTGAATAGGTCATTAGGTGATAGGAAAAGTGCACAACCATTTGTCCTGCCAAGAATTCGAACCCCCAAAAACTAGTTTTCTACTGAGATTCTCTTCCTTGTTATGGCATGATGATTTAGGCATTCTATTGGCTAGCTGTCTAATATTCATGATTAGACTTTGAACTGTGGGATCTTAATTTATATTTTCTTTAATTGCAGGCTGTGGTCATCTAGTCCTTCTATTCCTGTATATTAAAATCAACCACCAAGATGAAGTTTGCCGAACATCTTGCGGCACACATCACGCCTGAATGGCGGAAGCAGTACATCAGTTATGAAGAGATGAAGGCAAGTTTCTCACCTCATGTTTTTCTTGACAGGTTATATTTGCTGAAATTGATTAATCCATACTATTCTCCATACCATGTATATGGTATATATATAGTATATATGGTATATACTCTATAGCATATGGAGTATTCCATACTCCAGTCACTATATGTGATCCCTCAACATGCTCAACATACACTCACTCCACACATTCTCTTGTGCCATTTACATGTACAAAACCTTGTTTCTAGATGCAAACCCTGATCTCAAACTCTTCCAAGACAGATGTAATAGAACCCATAATCACCACACCAGAAATAAATATCTCTTATATCCCCAGAGTCAAAATAATTCTGTGTAAACACACTATGCAACTAAATGGACCTAGTCTATGGAACTCATTCCGTAACACATTAAAAAGCTGTCCAATCTATCCCTTATTCAAAAGTAACACAAAAAGTACCTAATTTCATCCTCATAGATTTCTACCTAGTGCTTCACATTCGCACTGTATCTTGTGCTACCCCAAAATATGTGCCTAAGCCATATAACTTCACCATTGTAATCACTGTCATCTTATATCATGGTTATGTTGAATGCAGATTTTACTACAATGTACCTAGAAATAATCCTCAAATTATGCTACAATGTACCTGTCGATAATCGACAGGTACAATTATGCTACAATTTACTAAAATGTATCTACTAATTTTCTTCAAATTTTCTTACAATGTACCTGTTAACTTTTTCAATTTTGCTTCAAATTACCTACTTAAAATTATCTGTTAGATTAATAGATTAAGGACCTGCCCAAAATGCTGTGTTTTAGTGGTTTTACAAGGATGTAAAAACATCAATGCTATGTACTCTCATTATATATATATATATAATATATATATATATATATATATATATATATATATATATATATATATATATATATATATATATATATATATATATATATATATATATATATATATATATATATATATATATATATATATATATATATATATATATATATATATATATATATATATATATATATATATATATATATATATATATATATATATATATATATATATATATATATATATATATATATATATATATATATAAAAATAAAATTACCCCCTGTGGGCAAATTGCCATATACGATTTTTTCCTATTCAATTTAACTATTTTTGTCATGTGATCATGTGACCACAACGAAGTACTGTACTTTTAAACACTTGAGCAATCCAAGGGTTAAGGAACTACAGCTATGGTTGTTTTATATATGACCACAATTTCATTTTGTTTATAGGCTATGTTGTATGCTGCTGTGGAGCAAGCACCATCCTCTGAGGTCACAGAGGCGGAGGTCATCACTCGGTATTATGCCAGATTTGATGAACAGTTCTTCAGAGTGTGTGACAAAGAATTAGCAAAGATCAACACCTTCTTCTCGGGTAGGTTTTACTCTTTTTCAGATATGCTGCATTTTATATAACACGTAATTTATTTATATAACTATTGCTCATATTTGTTCTTATAATTCTTAATTCATAGTTAATTTCTGAAGAATTAGGATTAATGTATACCCGCCTCTGGCGGCAACAATCAAAATCAATCTATATAATCAGACATTTAATCAGTCATGGATTTTGCAGGGAGATGCCATTTTTGTAGTTTATTAATAAAATGATGATAAATATTGAGCAAATCGTAAAAAGAACAAAAATATATACAACTTAAAACCTTCCTGTTGGCTGATACTAATTCCCTTTTGGGCACCTGCCTGGACTGTTTGGTCTTTAAGTAAATCTTTGCTCTGCACCATGCAACACTTATCTCGACTAAACACCGGTGCATCTGTGGCTATGCATCGGCAATCCAATACAGCAACCATGATCTCATCTGTCACATGTCAAAGGAAAAAATTGCTAGATACGAAGCTGTCTAATGACATTATTAAGAGAAGTTTGGCTACAACCAAGTGTCCAGCATGAAGGGAACCTCAGATATGCAGACCTGATAAGTCACAAGCACCCCAGTTCTGACGCTGTTGTGTTGGGTGGCGGTGCAACTTTTGGAGCTTAAGTACACATTTACCTCAGGAAGCCAGGGTCTTGAGAATTTGTCGACAGAAATATGTAATTTAATAATTTTCTGGGTCTCCCAGAAGGTGACAATCAATCACTTTCAGATTCACTGTACCATAGACAGGTATTAGCTAATGTAGGTGTACACACAGTCCTACACAACCTGTTTAACCATCCTCTGCATGATAGCAGGATATGCTATCTTGGAGGGGGATGGTTAACAACTCTTTCCCACGTGATATCTGAAATAACACAAATCAGTGGTATAAGGAGGGAATTACAAATCATCATCATAATGAACTCTTTAATAAGAACAAATGAATATAACCTAATGAATTAGATATTTTATAAATATCACACTGATATTTTCTAAATGCATTGCCTAAAATATTTTACAATTTAGCTCAAGTTGATAGCATTTATTTAAAGTACGGTATTTATATTTTCACCTTATTGTACTTACGGAGAGGAAGCTCTAGCTCTTGGTGTCCATCTATGTTGTTTTTATTTAGTATAACTACAGTATTTTCTTCTCCGAGGCTATGGGTCCCTACACTGGCACAAGAGGTGGACTAAAGTATATGTCTTTTTTTTTTTTGTTTTTTTTCAGAAAAAATGGCTGAAGCTACAAGAAAATATACCACACTTACATCAGACCTTCAAGCATCAAAAGAGCAACATGGGGATGGGCTCCGCAACCGCAAGGGCTTCACGTTTCTGCCCAAACTAAATGTCCCGGCAAGAAAGATGCAAGACCTTAAGCTGGCATTCTCCGAGTTTTATTTGAGCCTTATCCTCCTTCAGAACTACCAGAACCTAAACTTCACTGGGTTTAGAAAAATTCTGAAGAAACATGATAAAGTTAGTATCAAGTGATGAATATTCTGGTTTTCCATTGTTAAGGGGTGAAGTTTGTTAGACTTAGTGAGGTCTCCTTAAGGCCAATGACTGGTATTTCCCATTATGTAAAGATTAGGTAATTATGAGGAGAAAATACTAAGCTAGTATGATGTTATAATGCTTGGAAGGAATAGGAGAACAGAGTGAAGGAGTAATGCCCAACCACATAGACCATCAAGGATCAAGTGCTGACCTACAAGAAGCAAGGCCGCAATGACCTGACTACTGACCTAACTCCCAGGCACCTGTTTACTGCTAGGTGAACAGAGGCTTCAGGTGTAAACACATGTGGCCAAATGGCTCATCCTGTGAGGAAATTGAGCGCAAAACTCTTTAGTTGTGAGCTGACTGTACTCGCCATTCCACAGTAGTCTGGAATTTGGTGGAAAGATGTCAAGCTGTAATTATTAGTGATTTAGTAGTGCATAGATTTAAGTGGAAATATGCCAGCTTGTGTGAATTACAATAATTGTTGACAATTAAATTGATTAATGGGCAGGAAGTGTGGCATAAATGTTTTATCTGAGGCTTTTATAAAAGGTATTGATATAAACAGGAGCCGTCTCATATCGACCAATAGGCCTTCCGCAGTTTCCTTAATTCTTATGTTCTTAAGTTGATATTATAATGCTTCTTTAAAGAGCCAACAATAATAACCAATTTAGTTAGTAATAATGAAAGATTGGTATATGATTGGTAATTGTAGTGTGACATATTTATAAATAACAAGTGAATAATGTTAATGTTTCCTTACAAAACATAAGACTTCAACCACACACACACACAGTAGTTGAGGCGAGTTGAAATTAAATTTAATTTCAAAGTAACAGATTGAATAAGAAATTTTACGTTGGATTATACAAGAAGTTTGGTAAATGAGATCTGAAAAATGGAGTATAAAATACAGTACAGTATATGTGATTCATTATCATACTATGTACACCATTACCCACTGTGATGGTGAGGGAAAGCATCAGGCCAGAGGAATAGGAGAGGGTAAATAACATCCAAACAACATTGAGACCAGGTCATCACGCCAGTGCAGTGAGGATTTTTCCAAAGTGCCCCCTTGAGCCCTTACTCCATCTAGGGCTTAAACATATCTGGCACAGGACTCCTAACCACAGGTTGACGGAACTAAGTCTTCCTGGAGAAAGAAAGCCAACACTCCCACTCAAAAGCAATCAGAGCAGATTTTTCCTGCAGGAGCTCTGACTGTTTGGAATACCTCTCCCTTAGAACAGATGTAATTGTTTGGGTGGCTCAGCCAGAGGAAATGGTTGGGAAGCCTAGACACGGGATAATTAATACACTTCTGATCTCGGTTGTGGAAATCACTAATTGTAAGGACCAAAACCCTCGCTGCATCTTCAAGGAAAAGATTGCGAGCTACAAGATATTTGCAAGAGTCAAAAATTTAGTTTCCAGCACCAAGATTTTGGGATACAACCCTATTACCTAGAAATAGAATTGTAAGACTACTGCCCAAGCTGGCAAATAGGACATACCCAAGGGTGAAAGTAATGCTTAATAGGTAGAATTCTTCATCATGACTGTTAGCATAAAAAAAAAGTGTGGCACCCTTCAAAATGGGAGCTAATGGAAATTAGGCTCAAGCTCATGTTCACTACTGTTCAGGTACTATGGCTAGCAACACAGGAGGGCAGAAATCAGGTAAAAACATGGAATGGATCACAGGACCTCTGCCCTAGACGGTAGGCTAAAGACGTGACCTGCAATTATGACGTGCCCTGAGCATTTCCCTAAGCTCTGTACCTGTCGGAAAGAGCTAATAGATACATAAAATGCATAGTCACGCACCAGTGATGTGAATGTATTCAAGCTTGTGCACCCAGCACTAAGTCTTCATCCTTGGACCAGAGCTAAAGGAACTGCAAGTGATCATATACATACCGTACATGCATCTCCAGGATGCAGATGCCAACATCTTTGTCAAATTACATAGTCAAATTTTACTGGCTCAGAAAATTGTAATTAAACAATTCTGATTTTATTTAATAGTAAATGAATAACTGTGATATGTGGAGAGATGATATATAGATGCAGTGGCATGCACAGTGTATGGAACGTGTTCTAAACTAAATATTTATCTTTTACCAGCTCATGACCACATCAAATGGGGCTAGGTGGAGAGAAGACAATGTTGATGGCTCTCCTTTCAACACTAATAAAGACATTGACAAACTTATTCAAGAGGTAAGGAATTTTACATATTTATAGTGTCAAAATATTCACAATTTGTCATTGTTCAGGATTTTAGAACAGTTTAAACTTTATATAAAAATCTGAAAGAATGAAGACTATATATATATGACGCTAGTTGATACCTAGTTGATGGGGTTCTGGGAGTTCTTCTACTCCCCAAGCCCAGCCCGAGGCCAGGCTTGACTTGTGAGAGTTTGGTCCACTAGGCTAATTACATCTAGTGTGTAAGAATGTAAAATATTACATTATGTTCATATATTTACATTGAGAGCTTATAGGGAAGGCCTGTGAGAAAGATTGTAAGGTGTAGGAGTCTAATGGGTGGAATCTTGGGAGTCTGGAGCAAGATGGGGAAGGTACCAACATCCTGGGGGTAACCCCAGATGCATGCCTTAACTCATAGACTGTGATATACTAAATATTATATAATTTGAAATTTTTCCGGATGCACTAGGAGCTCGGAGGTACCGATTTTCTCATAGATACGTCACATTATTGTGACTTCCTTGTGTATTGTAAGGTGTATATGGCAATCATTTACTTGGAAAAATCATATGACACTATTAACAGAGAAGAACTTTGGAGTGATGAGTGTATATAGCATTTGTTAATCACTGTTAAAAGTTATATAGGCAGTAGTGCATGTGTTAGTTAGTGGTGAACTTTGACTGATTTGATATTACTGTAGGTATATGTCAGTGTTATATTCACCTAGTTGTGCTTGCGGGGGTTGAGCTCTGCTCTTTCGGCCCACCTCTCAACTGTCAGTTAATCAACTGTTACTAACTACTAACTATTTTTTGTTCACCCCTTTTCCCCAGGAAGCAGCCCGTAACAGCTGTCTAACTCCCCGGTACCTATTTACTGCTAGGTAACAGGGGTATCGGGATGAAAGAAACTCTGCCTATTTGTCTCTGCCGGCGCCGGGAATCGAACCCGAGCCACAGGATTACGAGTCCTGTGCACTGTCCATTCAGCTACCAGACCCCAGACATGTTGTGTGGTGTCATCTTGGTTATTCAGTACCAGAATGTGGTCATGAAGGAGTCCATGGTAGGAATGTTTAGAGACAGGTGTAAACTTAATGTCTAGGCCTAATATGTGGAATTGGACTGTGTTAAATTTGATGTTTATACAGCTCAGCAAAGAGTGAAAGTTGTATAAATTATTTGAAAATTTTTTGAGGTATGTAAAAAAAGACTTAAGAGTGAATTTAGACAAAAGTAAAAGAAATGGTGTTGCGGGAAGGAAATTGTTAAATAAATTGAACGTGAATGGTGAAGGGTTGAAGGTGGTTGGTACATTCCCAGGTATGAACATACCTGGGAATGTGTGATTGATAAGAGGAATTTGTGCAATTGAAGTCGAAGGTAGAGTCAGCCAGGGAATAAAAATGGATGGTGCAATGAAAATCTGGGTTAATAACAGGGTAAGAAAAGATGTGATCAGATGTTCATAATATTGGTTGTGCTGATTCTCCAGTATGGTTGTTAGACACTCTTATGATCCTCACAAATCAAAATCAAGCAGTAGAAATGGAAATACATAGTATACAATATCAGTAAACTGCAAGACTGAGAAGAGTGTTGAAATGGTTTAGGTGTAATTGAACAGTTGAATGATGGCGGACTGATGAAGAGAGACAAGACTGAATGTAAGTAGTATTTGTGACAAGGGAATGAATGTATATCAATATACGTACATTGTGTATATTCCCCCACACACTCGCTGAATATTGCTGATTCACTTAGTGCTTCTGTTTCCCCTGCACTAAACTCTATATCCAAATACAATATTATAAAATAAATTACAATAATTATTATAGAAAATGACTTTTGACTTAAGAAAATAAATGGAATTTGCCTAGAGACAGTTGATGGTCACTAATTTGTTTTTAAAGAAGCAAAAATCTTCATGGATACTAGTACTTGTTTCACTTCAGGTTGAAGGCACATTCACGTCCGAACTGGAGCAAGGTGATCGCCAGAGGGCCATGAAAAGGCTTCGTGTGCCTCCCCTCGGTGAAGCTCAGAGCCCCTGGACTACATTTAAAGTCGGGCTCTTCTCGGGAGCATTTATTGTCCTAGTTGTGTCGGTTATTCTTTCAGGTGAGGCTCATATCCTACTTAAATATATCATTAATACAGTATTCCAATAAGGCTCAAATGGGATTTGATCTGGCTGTCTGTTTTGACTTTCTCACTGTATATCATTGTCTATATCTCTATACTATCTATATTTGGCTGTTTATACTTATAACTCATAAATGTCTTAAGTAAAAGTGACTAAACTATCTTGCAGAAAATGCCACAATAACGTAGCTGAAACAAATACAGTGCCACCGCCATTCAATGAACTATATGGGACCAACCCCAATTTATTGCAACATTAGATGCCTCTAGAATGCATTTTCCACACCCTATGGGCTAATTTCTCTTAGCAAATTTTTATTTCAGTCTATAATATAATAGACAACTATGAAATGAACATGTCTGCAAAAAAGAATTAACCACATCTAGCATATTTCTCACATCCCCAGACTCAAAACTTATTTTCAAAAGAAAGCAGGGCCATACCTGAGTGAATTAAAATCTTGCCAACTGAAAATGAAAGTAAACTATAGAATTTGGATTTAAATATCCTCAATAACTTTCCCAAGGCTCCTTCTATTTCTTGTAATGTTTAGTCCCTCTACTAAACTCATCAAAAACATGATTGGAGCCATATTAAGAATGTTACTATTCATACCCAAATATTTCCCCATGCTCAATGGGCTGATTTCACTGAGTGAAATTTGAATTTCAACCTAGCCTTGAAACCTCATTTTCAAAGTAAATAGGACTCATATTTGTGAAGGAAAAACCAGGGGAATCTCAAAATTAATGAACCATAAAATTTTGTTTTAAATGTACTCTGTGGTTTCACAAGGCCCCTCAACTATTTCTTGTAATGTTGCCTCCATCTGTCGGTCCCAACATCCTAAGCAATCCTCCGCTTCTTGTTCGTCGAATCGGGTGAGGAAATCTGGCATGGAAGGCGTGTTTTCCATCCAGAGATTCGCAAAATCGACGTTCAATGAATCGAGGTTCCTCTAACTCAACCCACACATATGTAATGAGTGATGATGATGTTTCGGTTCATTCTGGACCCACATGACTTGATGATAGCCTATGATGTATCAAAATGTCATCATTTTTCTTTTCATTTCATGTGTGGATTGGATTTTTTGTTAAACCAACTTGTTAATTGGCTGTTTAGTAAGTAAATTCATTATGGTACACTTTAGTGTTCTATGGCTCTGGTAGATAAATGAACAAATATAAATTAGAAATCACATATCCAAAATCACTGCAAGCTTTAAAACATCTTTCTGACAAAAATTATAGAGATAATGAGAATACCACAAGCACAGTTCTCTTGTCCTGGAACTACAATTAGGTAATTACAGATTTTATCTTCAGCTTTTTTATTTGAATATTCTTTACAGAAAACTTCAGATTTTTCCTAGAAGACAGGATATGTTGTTATAACAGTAAGATTAAGCCTGATGCCATAGCTTATGCAAAAGAACATAATAATAAGGAAACTATGCATTAAAATCACTTTCAGTAAATGTATGATGAAACATATTAAAAAAAAAATGGCAAAAAAATATCTTTTTAAAATTGGTAGTGTGTTTTAAGTGGAGGTGTATCTTATGTGCCAGTAGAAATGGTAATTCTACCTCTTCTCTCTTAATAAAGATGGAGCCTTTCCTCACTTGGCATTTTTTCTCAAACAAAAATTAAAAATGCATTTATTATGTACTGTACTAGAAAGGGTACAAGTGGGATCCAGCTGCACTATGGTCTCTTTTCCCCACACCACCTCCGTCCCTCCGTCTCTCCTCCTCCTGCCTTTGTTCCCTCCTCTTCCCTGCTCATCCTCCCAGAAAATTTATTATGAAACTGCTAAACAACTCTTTGGGAAAAACAACAAATATTTCAGACTACATGAAGAGTGCAGGAGGGTGTTCTTTATAAATGATGATACAGTGGAACCTCGAGTAATGAGCACCTCAATCAATGAGCATTTTGAATAACAAGCGTGCCACTTGGCAAAAATGTCTCTCAATTGACAAGCTTTCGCTTGATTAACGAGAAAAGCACATGGTGCTTCCTAGCGATCCCACTGGTTCTCGCAAGTTCTCAGACACCTCCGACGATGCAGATAATTTTTTGTTTTTGTTTTAAAGATGCTAATGATGCTGGGATGTAAAGGGGTGACTGCTGTAATGTTGCAAAGCATAGATTTTTGTTTTTTAGACAAAATTAGAAACAAAAATCGAAAGATTTTGAAAAAAGAACAAATGTCAAAAAGGTTCGTTCAGTGAATGTGAGGTAGGCTACTACATTTTCTAACAAAAAAAAAAGAATGAAAAATAAAAAAAAATTGAAAGAATATGGAAAAAAGAAAAAAGTGTCATAAAGGTTCGTTCAGTAATTGTCAGCTCCATTTTGTTAAAAAAAAAATAAAAATAAAAAAATGAACAAATTTGAAAAAAGGAAAAATGTCACAAAAGTTCGTTCAGTGTGTGCCAAGTAGGCTTCTCCATTATTAATAAAAAAAATGAAAAATACAAAGCAAATTGTACAAATATGAAAAATAGAAAAAATGTCATAATGGAGCATCTTACCTGACAAACACTGAACAAACCTTTATGACAATTTTACTTTTTTCAAATTTGTTCAATTATTATTTTTATTTTTTATTTTTTTAAACAAAATGGAGCAGCCTACCTGACATACACTGAACGAACATTTTTCTATAAAAAATGAAAAACTAAAAAAAATTGAACAAATTTGAAGAAAAATTGTCATAAAGGTTTGTTCAGTATATGTCAGCTAGGCTACTCCATTTTCTTAAAAAAAAAAATGAAAAAAAAAATTGAACAAATTTGAAAAAAAGAAAGTCATAAAGGTTTGTTCAGTGTATGTCACGTAGGCTGCTCCATTATTTAAAAATCGAATATCATATTGATGTTTTTCGGCGGTAGAACGGATTACTAATTTTATTTCCATTATTTTAAATGGGGAAATTTGTTTCGAAAGACGAGCGTTTCACATGATGAGCTCGGTGCCGGAACGGATTAAATTCGTTAATCGAGGTTCCACTGTACAGTATTTCTTTAAGCATTTTACATTGGCCGACCCCAAATAGCCTATACCCAACATAATTCATCTTAGAAAGTTGGGTGAGGTCAGCCCTAAGCACCTGCCCAACAACCTCAGACAGAAAGACATTCTGTTTATAGATTTATTTTGTTCAGATAATTATATTATTTCAACCCATTCTCCTGTTTAGATAATAGTTTTTGTAACTGCACCATAGTACAAAGATTGCCGTTCTAAGCAATTATATAGTAGAACGTTGTACTATTCACTTTATAGAGACAGAAACAATGAAGCTAAGAAACAAACTTTAAGTATTCCTAAGCTTAGCATAGCACACATATGTACTATATTAGGCCTAGGAAGGTTAGGTTAGGTTAGTTTATCTTTGCAACATAAGCAGAAAATAGTTTTCCAGTTTGTCCAAATTCAATAGCGCCGATTTCTACTTTCTAATTTTGTTGTACGCCAGTGTATATGTACTATGGTCCTCGTCGTTACTATAAGTACAGTACTACCAGAACAGGAGGATGGGATAATTATTTTGAGAATATTGCTTTGATAATTATATAGCTTTTGGAACTCCATAAATAATGCAAGGTCAAGCTTTACAACATTTGGCAGGTGTGGTTGTAAGAACTATGTTATCCGTAAGGTCGAACTTTACAGGTACAATGATTTCTTTTGACTGTTATTGTTATTAAGCAAAATATTGCAAATTTTAAGGGCATTATCCAAGCAATGTGTTCTTTTCTGCATGATACTTCTCTTGGGCTCCTCGAGTTTAGGTTAGGTTAGGTTAGTTGGGCTCCTCGAGTTAAACTCTGGTTTCACGGAGCCATAGTCTAATACATCAGGCCTCTGAGTCCCATCAGCTCCTGGGAGCCAGGACCAGAATTTGGCTCATGTAACACAGCAAGAGAAACAAACACACAGCTGAGGAAAATCCATCAGAAAGCATGAGTGCAATGAACCAAGTGATTCCTTGGGGAAAATTATGCACCTGCTGGTAAACAAGGAAAATGATCATTGCTGTGGGGTGAATGCTCATTGCCTCATTGCTGTAGGGTAAATAGAGATGTGCTTTACTGGCTTCAGATAGTAGCCCAGGTCACCTAAGGTCTAATATGCAGATTTTCCTTGCTGTTACACATGTGAATACATACTTTGTGCTTATATATATTTTTCGTTAATGATAGTTTTGTTTTTCAGGCATCTTCCACTGGGGTTCTCACAATATAGAAGTTGTCCTGCGTCTCTTCCGAGCTCCACTCATGATTATTCTCTTCCTCTTCCTTATTGGCATCAACATCTATGGCTGGAGATCATCTGGTGTTAACCATGTCCTTATTTTTGAAATAGATCCCAGGAATCACCTAACAGAACAGCACCTAATTGAGATTGCAGCAATTTTTGGTAAGATGTTACTTTTATAAAATCTCATATTTTTTACAGTAGAGTATTTTGATTTACCTACAGTCAATCCCCCTTTTAGCATGAGGATAATGATGCTGGAAACCAAACTGCTAACAGAATCAGTGTAATATGGAGTCGTTATACCCTGTAGCACACTTCCTACAGAGATGCATTCCAACATTGTAATTTATTACTGTACAGTATGTACAATCCACATATTACTTTCAATGGCTAATACAGTGGTACCTCGGCTTACGAGCACCCCTGGTTACGAGTTTTTTTGGGTTACAAGCAGGATTTGCTCAGAAAATTTGTATTGGGATATGAGCGTTGCCTCGGGATACGAGGGTGTTGATACGCGTACGGGCCGACCTAGCGCGTGGTGGCACGGCGATTGCCGCTCAGTTTACCAGTGCCTCATGCCCAGTGACTATCCCACCTGAATTCTTCACAAGGATTTACTGTTTCTTTTCGGATTTTTTGATATTTGAGCATAAAATTTGTTGTTATATATCTCACCATGGGTCCCAAGAAAGCCAGTGGTAAGGTTCAACCTAAGAAAATAGTTGTGAGTAGAAGCAGTAGAGGATGTCCCTTCTTCATTAAGAAAATGTGTGAAGTATGGGAAAAACTGCACAGTTTTGTTGAAAAAAAAGCTCGTCCAGATAAAGCTGTAGCAGGCCGTTGCATTGACTTTTTAAATGACAATGTGATGTCTTACTACAGACAAGTGTTAAAATGTAGGGAAAAACAAGTGTCTTTAGACAGATTCTTAGTAAGACAAGCAAGTCCTAGTGGTATGCAGGCAAAACGTGCCAGAGAGTGCACACCAGTGAAGTCCTCACTGCCTGATGTTATAATGGAAGGGGACTCCCCTTCCAAACAGCAACACCTCTCCTCCTCCCTCCTACTCACCATCTTCCATACGCCAACAGCAGTCATCAGCAAGGGTAAGTAATAACTTGAACATACTTTTATAATGTAGATTTCGATGAATTAGGTATAAAATTTATTTTGAAGTGAAGTTTTTGGGTAGTCTGGAATGGATTAATTCATTTCCCATTATTTCTTATTGGGAAATTAGCTTCGGTTTACATATCCTGCCTCTCTCACTCTTTCCACCTTTCACCCCCTCTGCCCTTCTCTCCTTTCTTTCTTCCTTCCCTCTCCCTTCTCTCTCCTCCTTCCCTATCCTATCCTTTCTCCAAATCTATTCCTTAAACCTCCTCTCCATCTTTCTCCACTACTAACATGTCCCTCAACATCTTTCCCCCTCCCCTTCCATCTCTCCTCTTCCCCTTTCCCTCTCTCTCAAAATTGAATATCGTGAAGCACTGAAAACTAGTAAAAACTCTACATAAAAAAATTCCCCTGATTTCAGACTTCATGAAAATTGTAGGGGGCTGCTATAGATGCTGATATTTCTTAAAGGGTGGTACTAAGGATGACCCCAACTGGCCTATGAAACTCCTATACCCAACATGCTTCATCTGTGAAAGTTGGGTGAGGCTGACCTCAAGTGTCTTTGCTTCCAATTTCAGATGGACAAACAAGCTCATTCTATTTAATAGACATAGATTTGAATTCAGCGTGTTATAAGAGTTCTTTGTGGATCTTAAAGACTGGCTCTGGGAGCATTTGGTTGTCTGGGTTAGAAAAAAACATTTCACCGTCTTTATGATTAGGAAGTCAGGTATCAGGGTCATAGTAATCTTTTAATGATGCAAAGTTTACAGTGGATGGATTTAGAGGTGAGCTGCATATCCCAATATTGGAATTGTATGTGATTCTCTCTGGTTCATTCAAACTTGGTCTTCAAAGATACAAGGGGATGCAACTATTGTCCTACCAACTAGGCCATTGGTGCTTATAATAATGAATGAAATATAACCACCCACACTGTTGTGGACTGCATCTTTGATGATGTATTATTGTTACAGTAGCCAGTGAACCTCTATGGCATTTTGAATAAAACTGTAAGGTTTTTATATTGATCAGGTGGTTTAACTAAGGGAACATTAATTAGGTTTTAACTATACTAATACAAAATAGAAACAAAACAATGGATATAAATTGGATGAGTTTAGATTCAGGAAAGCCCTGGGTAAATATTTGTTTGTAAATAAACGTGTAGATTTGTGGAACAAGTTACTGGGTAACATAATATATGTATATTTATATCTTTTGTATATTTAATGCCAGATATAAATATGAGCTGCCCCATATGGACCAGTAGGTCTTCTCCAGTTTCTGTTATTCTATGTTATTTTCAGGTGTGATCTGGGCTCTGAGCGTTTTAGGATTTCTATATGCAGAGGCGCTCTCCATTCCTTCATACACTGTTCCGTTAGCTCTCCTGTGTTTCATGATGCTGTTTCTCCTTAACCCAACAAGAACGTTTCATCATGAAGCTCGATTTTGGCTCCTGAAAAAGCTGGTAAGCTTTAAAGTACTGTATGTGGATTATTGATTCCTTTCACTGAAATAATAATAAGAATGGCTGCTCAAGCTTTCATCCTGGTTATTGGATCATTTTAGTATAAACTCGTATATGGCAATTAGAGCATAGGAGGAAATTGCAGTTATTAACTAGAGCAATATAAGGGTTAAAGGTTCTGAAACATTTAATTATTAATGGACAACCTATCAACTCCCAAAGTGCAGTGGTCAGTGAGCACAGTTAGTTTACAAGCGAAAGGGTTTGGGTTCAATTCCCACAGCAGGACAGAGATATTTAGATGAATTTCCTTTTATCTCATGCCTCTGTTCACCTAGCAGTAAATAATTACCTGGGAGTTTGGCAACTGTTCGAGTGGGTTGCATCTTGGGGGGAAGGTCAGTAATTAGCCTGTGGAGACCTCAACAAGCCTAACAGGATGACCAAGCCACACATCAAAGACAGAGAAACAACATTATTTCGGTCCGTCCTGGACCATTATCAGGTCGTGTGCATAAACCTAATAAGCTTCCAGTCTCTGACAGTGCAACACAAATGTATTATATTTTATATTTTTTTGATAATACTGTAATGCTAATTATTAAATTTGTTTTATTTGGAAATTATCATATCTGCAATAACATGTGTGCTTTGAGAACTTCCCTTTTTTCATTAGCAGTCTTTTGCTATCAACTTTTGGGTAGTAAATTCCAGTACTGTATTTCCAATTTATAAATAATTCTATCTTAATACTGTACTGTAATATCATGCTTCTTCAATCACTTCCCCCCCCCCCCCCCCCCCCCTGGGTAAATTTGGGCAAGTGACAGTGATGTAATATTGGATAAATGTTGATGACATTGATCCTATGTTAATTAAACGTCACTCAAATATATTTTGCCCACTGGGTTGATACAAAAATTCTTATTCTAGCACATAATTTTTCAGGGCCGAGTTGTGTGCGCACCGTTCTTCTTTGTGCAGTTTGCGGACTTCTGGCTGGGTGACCAGTTGAACACTTTGGTGCAGGTGCTGAAGGACTTTGAATATTCTCTGTGTTTTTACACACAAGGCATCAACTGGTATGCCAGTAAAAGTGGTAAGTCTAGGGCATGTTAAGGACTTAGGCTCGTGTCTTTACAGTATTGTGCCACTGTAGGGAAGAGCAGTGAGTGGTCGGGTGGGGGGGGAAGGGTTAGAAAATATCAGGTGTTGATCATTGCAGGCAGAATCATTTGCAGTTTGCCATGGGATGTCTTGACTACTTTACTTGTGACTTTGAAAGCTTCATGCTAGCAAACTTCAAAGGAAGAAAGGAAGACACTTTGCTAAGCCTCAGTCCCAAATGGGAGCCTCAGTTTCATCCTTGAACACAAGGATGACCAATAGTACAAATTCCCTTTGATGACCAATAGTACAAGTTACCATGAAGGATTACTTAATTAAGTCTGTGAGTTATGCTAAATAGTAAATTAGTGTTTAAGTAAGATAACACATTTACTGTATAAAAATAGTGGCTCCTTCAAAATCCAGACGACTAAGAATGTGTGTTTTTGTGCATGTATATCATTACCCAAGTGTAGTTATGGGATGAGAGCTATGCTCATGGTGTCCCATCTTCTCGGTACTCTTTATCGTATGATGCATTGAAATTACTGACGTCTTTGGCCTCCACCACCACCACCTCCTATATGTTTTCCAACTGTCTACCACTCTGCAAGAGTGGGCTTTCTAATTTTTTCAGCAACTTTGTTTCCTTCATTTGAACCTATGTCGTTTTGTTCTTTGAGCTGCAGTTTTTGACAATTATTCTGTCTATTTTGTCGATACTTATTACTAGTTTGTACGTAACCATCATATCACCTCTTTTTCTTTTATCTTCTTTCGTATATTTAATGCCAGTACAGTACAGTACTCTTTCCTCATAGCTCTGTTTTTCTGTTTCAGGAGCCATTTGGTTACATGTGTTTGCATCTTTTGTAATTTATTGATGTGCATTTTGAGATATTGGCACCATACAACTGCTGTGTGTGTGTGTGTGTGTGTGTGTGTGTGTGTGTGTGTGTGTGTAACGTGTTATATTGACACATGTGGTGCAATATTTTGCAGAGTGAGGAGGAATTGCAAAAGTTTGTGCAAAACAAGAATGTTGAATGTTAATGTGAGAAAAAGAAAGATATGGTTTGAGATAAGGAAATGGCATATGGATCATATAGATACTTTTAGAGTGAAAAGACAGAATAATTTGAACTGTATGATAAAAATGGAGGAAAAAATATTGAAAGGGAGGCAAGACCCCAGCTCACAAGATAAGTGATAGATGGAGTCAAGACATGAGCTCACAATGAGACAGACAGGAGACGGATAAGCAAAAACTGAGCCCAAGTGGGATTGCAGAGAATCCAGTGAAGCATCCAGGATTGAAACAGTAACTGCTGCAGTGTACCATACTGAACCCAACCACACAAGACTGTGAAGGCTGTAGCTGGGATATTCCCAGATTGATCAGAAAACTCAACTCGCCCAACATGGTCAGTGCTCTGGGTGTCAGAGACTGCTGAGCATGGGACCCCAAATTAGCCAGTTAAAGTATGCCAGGAGCAGCACATGGTTCCTGCAGCACAGTGGCTCACAGCACGTCCATGGCTCAAAGCCAAACGATCCAGTTTCAATCCATGAGCAACACAGAAACATCAAGGCATGTTTCCTTTCATCTGATGCCTCTTCACCTAGTAGTAAATAGGTACCCAGGAGTTAAGCAACTGTTGTGGGTTGCATCCTGGGGAAGTTCAGTAGTTAGCCTACAGGAAACATCAATAAGCCTAAGTACAGGCTTCCTGACCCTAACAATCGGAATTAATAAATTAACCATTGTGCTGAAGTTAACTTGTGAAGTACTACCATGATCAGCTTGATCATGGGAGCCAGGATTGACCTGAAGAGAAGTACAGCAATGTGGTAGTTCATGTTCTCGACATGAAATCCCAGAAAGTCTCTGAACTTTAAATGAATTAGAATGTATGGACAATCATCCTGGAGATCTGGGAAACTAGATGAGAAGAAGAAAGGGAGAATCTGGCAAACTAAGGACACAGTAATAATAATGTAGTGAACGGTATGAGTTCAATGGCCTATGGCAAGTTTTAGAGGATTATTTTAAGGATTATATTAAGGAGATGGTTATAGGAGGAGGTAAAGTATTCTACTTCCTGGTAAAGCCAATCTTTGCTATTGTTAAACTTGTAGAGGGCCAGGTATATGCTTAATAAAGTGCTAGCAACGTAGGCAGTCGATGCAACTAATAATTCCAACTTACTGCTGCACATCTCAAGAATCTAGCTGACGTCAGAGAAATTATATTAATGCATATGTTTGTAATCTTAGCTATTCATTTATTTGCATGTTGTATATACAAGTATATTCATGCAAGCACATTTATATCATAAGAGTATGATATATCTGATACAAAATTGAGGCTGCTGTATGATGAAATGGAACCCACATCCGTGGACTCCTCAGGTACACACAATTCCAACTCCTTATACTGTACTGTAAGTCAAGTAGTACTTGACATTCTCTATAGCCTATCATGGTCCAGTGGGTAGTGTGAGAGCCTGAAGAGTTCAGAGATGCAGGTTTAGTCCCATCATATGGCTTCAATATTTTCTCATATTCGTATAAACATGGAAGTGCTTGCTTTCTCCTTTTGTTTTCCTATACTGTATGTATACAGTAATAATATCCGTTATTGTTAAGTGGACAATTTACAGAGTGCAAGGGTTGTTTTTTACTCCAAATTATTTTCCATGTAATTTCTGCAGTGGATGATAATGTGTGCATCGACAAGACACAAGTGGTACGAAATATTGTTGCCTGTCTTCCTGCTTGGTGGCGCTTTGCTCAGTGCCTCCGCCGTTATCGAGACACTCGGGAAATGTTTCCTCATCTGGTCAATGCATTCAAGTATGCAACAACATTTTTTGTGGTAACATTCACCTGCTTGACACATGTTTACAGAGGTAAGGCTTGAAATATATCAACAGTCTGTATAATTTATTGTAAGTTTTCCTTCAGTCTGTAAGGTATCTACTGTATTTCTTCATGAAAAGTATCTTTACTGCATTGTGAATGTGAAAGTTGCACGCCTTGGCTGGTCCTTTACACTTTTCCCACAATATCGACCTTTGCCTAAGGAAGTGACTGATTGCAATGCTTAGAAAATAGGTTTTCATTTACACTCAAATCTTTACTGTTTCTATTTCTCATCCAAGTTTATTTCACCCATCATAAATATAAATGTGTTTTACCCAATAAAATATATTTACCCGAGGGTCATTATCTCTTGGCCTGTTCTCAGGTCTAAGTGATTACCGGTATACTGAGAAATCAACCTCCCTCATTCTAGATACACTGTACTGTATTTATTATGGTCTGAAAGCATATTTTGGTCCCAATAATAGTCTACTTGTAAACTGGCAAGTAAACTTTTGTTCTAAATAGAGAATATTCTCAAGTTTTAACTGTACTTTATTGTATTATAGATCCAGGGTTTTAAAATATAAAATCTCTGGCAAACTCATTTTGTGTGATAAGTTTTATGCCCTAGGTTTTCTTTATTATCAAATACTAGGGGATACTCAAATAGTTTTTTAATTTAATGTGAAACATACTGTATTTGAGAGTTATTCACTGTTTCAACCTAACTTGACCTGACCTAATCATGAATAAGGAGTAGATAATAACACTAATTTCTTGTAGTTTTGTAACACGGGTAGGGTGTTCTCTAATTATCTTTCCTTCTTCTTTTCCCCCTCTACCCGTATTCTTACTTTTTTATTTCTCTACAAGGGACTCCAAAACTTTTAGTAAAGCCGACTCCACGCCACGTGGTCCTAAGACGATTGACCGACTTAGGATTCTACAACTCGTATGACGTGACCTAGGCTTTGAGCAAAACCCTAGAGTCGCCTCCGCCGCCACCACCAGACCAGTAACACAGAGCAATGATCGAGGTCTGGATCGATCATGCTAATTAATCAACCTTGGGGCTTGATCCCCACTAGTAACCGATGACCTTGGAAACTTAGAGTGTGGAATTAGTTACACGGGAATGATGAATTCCGACTCGATGTTAGAATCGGCGCCCAATCCAACTCTGCCTCGTGTGGACCACGTGACCAGGACAAGTTCACATACTGTACATATAACAAACACATGGAAATAATGAAAATGCAAAATATTAACTAATTAATTTATTAAAAGAAAACTAAAACAAAATCTAAATATGTTCACTCCCTGTCACTTTAACACTCCCTACTTTTCCTGAACGGCAATGAGTTGACTATCCCTATAAAAACTCATAAAGCAACTCTACCTTGGGCGACCAGCTCTAGATGATGGGGGCTGGTCTTGGGAGAGAGGTAAGATGGTTGACCTCTCCCAGTTGATCTGGCGTCCACACTGATCTCTCCTCGTCTGGTCTACCCCAGACTAGAGCATTGTATCCTTCCGCATAGTCTAAGTTTTACCAAGTTACAAGCAAGGTTTAAGTTATAACAATTAACCTCTGTTGTACTTAATTGATCCAGACTGGTTGAATTATTTTACTGAAGTTAAATTACTCAAGCATCTAACAGCAGAGCTGTTCCCGATCACCAAAATGGTTATTTGAACTTTGAGAAATAGTGGACATGTCAACTCTGATGACCTATGACCGCCGGTCACTCACGCCTTACAACTTAGATCTGATTCGTGACGTCACTGATGGTGACTTAACTCAATAATTAGAATACTCTTGATATTGTACCCAGTAATATTATACAATACAATTTTAATACAAAATGAATAAAGGCTAATTTTTCTAAATTACTGAATACTATAGAATGGTTCATTATACGAAGCTATGAACAAGGCGTCGATTATTTTCACCGCGAATTCCCTGGGGTCAGGTCCCGGGTCACCACGCGGGCCCAGCTTCCCATTCTCTTTTGTCAATAAACCACTCTGGGTAATTCTTACAGCCAGCCTAGTTTGTTACAGTTTTTGAAGTAATTACCATGAGGTACATACCTCCTGAGGACAGGTAGCTACCTCTCTAGTGTCCTTGATGGGGATAGGAAGTTGGTGACATGTTAACAGTCTCCCCATTGTTCTGTCACGTCTCCAAACTGAGTAGCCTCTTGGGAATATGACTTCATTTATTATATTTCCTTCAAGTTTCGTTTCTGATAATGCAACAATATCTGGGACCCTAAGCTGGATTATATCTTGCAACTCCAAAGTTTTTGACCTCACTCCATCTATGTTGGTATATACAATTTTCAGGAACATGTTCCCTTTTCCTTTGCTCTTTACTTCCCCTTCCACTACTGATCTTGTTGCTTTGTTTTTATGTACCATTTCACAAGCTTTCCAGTCCCTGTCACTTTGTAAAAAAAAGAATTTCTGTCTTCTTCATTTCTATCCCCATTTAGACGTTTTGCCTCAATTAAGTTCATTTTCAGCTTTTCTCTGTCTTCCTTGGAGAGGTCTTGTCTTATTGACCAAGATTTGCCAACCTCATCACTCTGCAGTTTCCTGGCATTTCTTAGCACTTCCATCATGTTTTTCACTCCATTAAAGGTCACCCTTAAGGGGCGGTTCTTTTCTTTCTCATATTTTCCTATTCTTCTAAAATCACTGACATTTTCCTTTGAGCCTTCTCCTAAACCTACTATTTTCTCTATGATTTTCATCTCTTCTGCCGCTCGGTCCACCCTAGATGAAATTTCCTTCTCTAAACATCCAAAAATGATTATGGACTTAGTTCTATCTGCAGTGTTTTGTACCAGTTTACTGTTGGTAACCAGTTCTTTCCTAATTGCTTGCCTAATTTCTGCTTCTTGTTGGTTATTTCTGGTTTTGACTTCCGAACACACTTCTTTGATAGTCTCTTTCTCTTTTACAACTTGAGCATATGTCGCTTTTATTTCTTCTTTATACTTTTCTAGTTCTTTATTCACCTCCTCTATGTGAGTTGTCAGTGAAGTTTCCAGTTGGAGATCCTTACCTAACTCTATGTTAGCCCTTAGGCTTGCTTGGAGTTGTTCACCATATGAGTCTATCTTTTTGTTTATTTCTTCAAAGTCACCACACTTCACTTTCCATGCCTCATTTTCTTTCACTAGTTCCTTGATTTGCTCCTCCTGATTTGTTACCTTGTCTGTTAATGCAGTAATAATCTTACCTTGTTGCAGCATACTCCCTTTTAGAGTGCAAAGCTCACTCCAAAGAGCTCCATTGTCCTCTTCTAACTTAAGCACTTTTTCTTCATACTTCTTTTGCATGTCCTCAATTATCTCTAACCTGCCAAGAACACCTCCTTTCCTTATATCTTGTGTTGTATATAATGTATATATGTATGTCTATATAATGTGTGTGTGTGTGTGTGTGTGTGTAACGTGTTATAGTGACACATGTGATGCAATATTTTGCAGAGTGAGGAGGAATTGCAAAAGTTTGTGCAAAACAAGAATGTTGAATGTTAATGTGAGAAAAAGAAGGATATGGTTTGAGATAAGGAAATGGCATATGGATCATATAGATACTTTTAGAGTAAAAGACAGAATAATTTGAACTGTATGATAAAAATGGAGGAAAAAACATTGAAAGGGAGGCAAGACCCCAGCTCACAAGATAGGTGATAGATGGAGTCAAGACATAAGCTCACAATGAGACAGACAGGAGACGGATAAGCAAAAACTGAGCCCAAGTGGGATTGCAGAGAATCCAGTGAAGCATCCAGGATTGAAACAGTAACTGCTGCAGTGTACCATACTGAACCCAACCACACAAGACTGTGAAGGCTGAAGCTGGGATATTCCCAGATTGATCAGAAAACTCAACTCACCCAACATGGTCAGTGCTCTGGGTGCCAGAGACTGCTGAGCATGGGACCCCAAATTAGCCAGTTAAAGTATGCCAGGACCAGCACATGGTTCCTGCAGCACAGTGGCTCACAGCACGTCCATGGCTCAAAGCCAAACGATCCAGTTTCAATCCATGAGCAACACATAAACATCAAGGCATGTTTCCTTTCATCTGATGCCTCTTCACCTAGTAGTAAATAGGCACCCAGGAGTTAAGCAACTGTTGCGGGTTGCATCCTGGGGAAGTTCAGTAGTTAGCCTACAAGAAACATCAATAAGCCTAAGTACAGGCTTCCTGACCCTAACAATGAGAATTAATAAATTAACCATTGTGCTGAAGCTAACTTGTGAAGTACTACCATGATCAGCTTGATGAAAGGCCAGGGAGCCAGGATTGACCTGAACAGAAGTGCAGCAATGTGGTAGTTCATGTTCTCGACATGAAATCCCAGAAAGTCTCTGAACTTTAAATGAATTAGAATGTACAGACAAGCATCCTGGAGATCCTGGGAAACTAGATGAGAAGAAGGGGAGAATCTGGCAAACTGAGGACACAGTAATAATAATGTAGAGAACGGTATGAGTTCAATGACCCATGGCAAGTTTTAGAGGATTATTTTAAGGATTATATTTAGGAGAGGGTTATAGGAGGTAAAGTACTTTACTTCCTGGTAAAGCCAATCTTTGCTATTGTTAAACTTGTAGAGGGCCAGGTATATGGTTAATAAAGTGCTAGCAACGTAGGCAGTCGATGCAACTAATAATTCCAACTTACTGCTGCACATCTCAAGAATCTAGCTGACGTCAGAGAAATTTTATTAATGCTTATGTTGGTAATCTTAGCTATTCATTTATTTGCATGTTGTATATACAAGTATATTCATGCAAGCACATTTATATCATAAGAGTATGATATATCTGATACAAAATTGAGGCTGCTGTATGATGAAATGGAACCCACATCCGTGGACTCCTCAGGTACACACAATTCCAACTCCTTATACTGTACTGTAAGTCAAGTAGTACTTGACATTCTCTATAGCCTATCATGGTCCAGTGGGTAGTGTGAGAGCCTGAAGAGTTCAGGGATGCAGGTTTAGTCCCATCATATGGCTTCAATATTTTCTCATATTCGTATAAACATGGAAGTGCTTGCTTTCTCCTTTGTTTTCCTATACTGTATGTATACAGTAATAATATCCGTTATTGTTAAGTGGACAATTTACAGAGTGCAAGGGTTGTTTAGTTTTTGAAGTAATTACCATGAGGTACATACCTCCTGAGGACAGGTAGCTACCTCTCTAGTGTCCTTGATGGGGATAGGAAGTTGGTGACATGTTAACAGTCTCCCCATTGTTCATGAGGATATTTTCTATCTGGATTTTGAACTTGAGTAACATCGTGGCATTTATGGCTTCAACATGTAGGTGGTTCCGTGGGTTTATTACGCTATTGTAGACCCCCGTGGTGCAGTGGTAAAGCACTCTTCTGGGGCTTCGCAAGCTCTTTGGCTTGGGGTCATATCCTGGCTGGGAAGGATTGACTGGGCACCATTCCTTAGCCTCTGCTTGTCCAGCAGTGAATGGGTACCTGGTTGTTAAATGATTTGGCGGGTCATATTCCGGGGAAAATTAGGATTAATTTACCTGAGGGCCCCTAATACTAGTGGCCTCGATGAGGACAGGAAGCCAGCAGCATGTCAAAGGTCCCCCCATTTGCCCTGATCTTGTCCAGTGGAATTTTAAAACCCAGCAGAGTTTTGGCGTTTACGGCTTCAGCGGGTAGGTAGTTCCACGTACCGCCTACCCATGGTACACATAAGGAGCTCGAAACACTATGCGTGCTAATGGCTTTACAAGAATGCAAGAACTCGTATATATAAATAATAAAAAAATTACAGTTCAGTACTGTATTATGAAATACAAAAATATTGTATTTAATTTCAGATCAGTATGAAGATGGCATCAACAATCCTTTCTTCTATATGTTGGTAGCATCTATGCTCTTCAGCTCCTGCTTTGTGTTTTGGTGGGATATGGTTATGGATTGGGGCATGTTTGAGAAGAATTCAGGTGAATACAAGTTCCTGCGTGAAGAGCTCGTCTACTCCTCTCCGGTATGTTGATCAACATTCTCACTGTAATGCGAGTCTGCTGTCAATACAAAACACAGTAGCAAGGACACCCAGTGTAATAGCATGGAAGCTGTTGATTTATAGAACAAATTACTGAGTAACATAATAGGTGTGGGATTACTGGATTATTTCAGGCATCATTTAGACATGTATATGAATACGTTTGGGTGGATATAAATAGGAGCTGCCTGGTATGAGCCAATAAGAGCTGCCTGGCATAAGCCAATAAGAGCTGCCTGGTGTGGGCCAATAGGAGCTGCCTTGTATGGGCCAATAGGAGCTGCCTGGTATGGGCCAATACTAGCTGTCTGGTATGGGCCAAAAGGAGCTGCCTGGTATGGGCCAATAGGAGCTGCCTGGTATGGGCCAATAACCCTTCTGCAATTGCTTTTATTCTTATGTTAGATGCTGGCAATATAACAGGCACTGAAAATAAGAAGTGTACAGAAGAACCTCGGGTGATGAGCAGCCCCATCTATGAGCATTTCAGGTAACAAGCAAACCACTCGCAGAAAATTTGTCTCGATTGACAAGCTTTCGCTAGGTTAGTGAGAGAACCACGTGGTGCTTCCTAGCGTTCCCGTTGGTTCTCGGACACCTCCAACGACATGATGATGATGTTTTGCAAGACGAGCGTTTCACATGACGAGTTCGGTGCCGGAACAGATTAAATTCGTTAACCGAGGCACCACTGTATATGCACTCCACAAGCAAGGTAGCAAAGCAGTAGCAACAAATTCTTGACTGATCACGACTCCTGATCCTCCTAAAATGATAGTACGTAAAGCAACTATGTTTGGAACATATATAAAGGACTGATGTACCTAAAAAAAGTTAAAATTTATACTATTGGAATACAGTACTATAAATGGCAAGCTAAAAAGTGAAATAGTAACTTTGAATTTATGAAACTTAGGCCTAATATATGACGTCTTAGCGCTAGGAATTTAATACAGTACATACGTTGGCTATACTAGTCCTTGAAAAGTTTGTTTGGTTGTTTCTCTGGCCCTCTACAAAATTAATAGTACAAAATGGGATTTTTTTGTGTGCAACAGTCCATTTTTGTATGTTCCACCCATAGTGGCTATAAGTACTGTGCTATAATTTTTGATGTTCCACCCATAGTAGCTACAAGTACTAGGCTATTATTTTTAGATGACAGGTTGCAAGGCTAACTTCACACATTATTTAAGTCTTTAAAAGAATGATAAGAAGTTAACTATTAAGTTTTATAAGAAAAAGCTACACAGCCCAAGTAAACATGACTTAGAGCAAGAAAGTCATATGCCTTTGGCAAGTTTACAACCACTGTGACAGTCTTGGAAGCAATACAAGAATCACAATACAGGTGATTTTTAATCTTATTATATATTACTTATACTTCTGGTTCTTGAGGATGAGGAGGGAGTGCACCCACACTGTAGCACAGTGGTCTATATCTTCTATTCACAATCCTGGGTTCATTCTCCAGGCAGAATGGAAGTGGTTTGGCATATTTCCTTTCACCTCGTGCCTATGTTTACCCAAGAGCAAATAGGTACCTGGGAGTTAGGCAGTTGCAGGTTGCATTCTGTGGAAATTCAGTAGTTAGCATGGGGGAGGGGGGACCTCGCACCTGATGCAAGTAATAGGTACGTGTGAGTTGCAGTAATAGGTACGTGTGAGTTGCAGTAATAGGTACGTGTGAGTTGCAGTAATAGGTACTTGTGAGTTGCAGTAATAGGTATGTGTGAGTTGCAGTAATAGGTACTTGTGAGTTGCAGTAATAGGTACGTGTGAGTTGCAGTAATAGGTACGTGAGAGTTGCAGTAATAGGTACTTGTGAGTTGCAGTAATAGGTACGTGTGAGTTGCAGTAATAGGTACTTGTGAGTTGCAGTAATAGGTACTTGTGAGTTGCAGTAATAGGTACGTGAGAGTTGCAGTAATAGGTACTTGTGAGTTGCAGTAATAGGTACGTGTGAGTTGCAGTAATAGGTACTTGTGAGTTGCAGTAATAGGTACTTGTGAGTTGCAGTAATAGGTACTTGTGAGTTGCAGTAATAGGTACGTGAGAGTTGCAGTAATAGGTACTTGTGAGTTGCAGTAATAGGTACTTGTGAGTTGCAGTAATAGGTACGTGAGAGTTGCAGTAATAGGTACTTGTGAGTTGCAGTAATAGGTACGTGTGAGTTGCAGTAATAGGTACTTGTGAGTTGCAGTAATAGGTACTTGTGAGTTGCAGTAATAGGTACTTGTGAGTTGCAGTAATAGGTACGTGTGAGTTGCAGTAATAGGTACGTGTGAGTTGCAGTAATAGGTACGTGTGAGTTGCAGTAATAGGTACGTGTGAGTTGCAGTAATAGGTACTTGTGAGTTGCAGTAATAGGTACGTGTGAGTTGCAGTAATAGGTACTTGTGAGTTGCAGTAATAGGTACGTGTGAGTTGCAGTAATAGGTACTTGTGAGTTGCAGTAATAGGTACGTGTGAGTTGCAGTAATAGGTACGTGTGAGTTGCAGTAATAGGTACTTGTGAGTTGCAGTAATAGGTACGTGTGAGTTGCAGTAATAGGTACGTGTGAGTTAGGTAACTGTTGTAAGTTGCAGCCTGAGGAAGGTCAGCAGGTGGTGTAAGAGGACCTCAATAGGCTAAGGTACAGGCTTAATTCCTGCTCCTGACAACTGGAATTATTTGCTATGTAAAGCTACTTCTCATCTGTGTTGTCCATAAAAAGGTAGAGATGAGGTTGGTATTGTGATTATAATAATGCTATGCAGTATATGGTTTGAATTAGCTTTATCATAATGTATTTCTTTATTTTTCCAGTACTACTACTATTTTGGCATTGTGGAAGACTTCATTTTAAGATTTAGCTGGACCTTCTCCCTCACTCTGACGGAACTCAAACTTACCAATGGTGAAATTATAGTTTCCATTCTTGCACCGTTAGAAGTTTTCAGGTAAATAAAACTGAAAGGTATAAAATACCCAAACTTTTAAACTTTGCCATATTAGTGCTGTTATCATTGAGGTTAATTTTGAGTGTGTGTTTTTGTGTTAAATCTGTCTCTTGTGTGGAGAACAGTTGGGTCCAACTCATTCCCTGCTCCTGTTAACCTTGATAGTGTGGTCAGCCAAATGGATAAAAGGGTATAATGAAGCAGATATAAATAAGGTGTTAAATATATCACCACAAAATAATATTTAAAACAATGGATATAAGATGGGGAAGTTTAGATTCAGGAAACAGTGTTGTTGATTTATGGAACAAATTATCGAGTAACATAATCAATGTAACAGTAATTGCTAGATTGTTTCAAGCGAAGGTTAGACACACACATGAATGAGTCTGGGGTGAATATAAATAGGTGCTTCCCAGTATAGTTCAAAAGGCTTTCTTCAGTTTCCTTTATTCCTATGTTCTTGTACAAGTTTGGGTGCATATAAATAAGATCTGTGTTGTATTGTTGGATTATTTCAAATGAAGAATAGACATATGAGTTTCAGTGGATATAAATGGGAGGTGATGATGAGTCACAATAACATGGCTGAAGATATAAAGACTAAACCACACACCAGAAGATGAGGAGATGACGACGCTTTGGTTCATCCTGGATAACAATCCGACTTGATAATGGTCCAGGACAGACCGAAATGTCGTCGTCTCCTCATCTTCTGGTGTGTGGTTTGGTCTTCCTAAATGGAAGCTTACTCATGGGCCCAAGGTAATTATCAGGAGAAAACACTAAGCTTTTACAATTATGTACCACTTGGGAAAGATATGAGGATAAGGATTTAATATAGGACAAAGGAAAGGAACGGTTTCCAACCACTTTGACTGGACGGTAGAATGATGGTCTCGCTTCTTGCAGTTTAGCATAACATAACTGGGTAACATAATAGATGTGGTATCAGTGGAGTACAGTATTTCAAGCAAAAATTAAATATGTACAGTAATTCCACCAAAGAATAGTATGGATATGGTGAGCAATGGAAAGTACTGTACAGTTTATAGGTTATATTTTGATAATACTTTTAAGTAATTTATATAAACATTTTAGTTTAATGCTTATTAGTATTTATATTACAGTATCACATTTTATGTATTCACTATTAATTTAACTATTTATATTTTCTCAGGCGCTTCATATGGAACTTCTTTCGTCTGGAGAATGAGCACATAAACAACTGTGGTAAATTCCGAGCCGTGCGTGATATATCGGTAATTCCTATGGATGCTTCAGATCAGGCACAGGTGAGTTATTCAGTAAATGTGTTATTGTGGCCTAAGATGTCTTGTATAATATCATGGAACCGACAGACTTTTACTGGAAAACCTTTGTTAAACTAAAGATTTAGAACCAGAACACACAAATGCAAAAAAAAAAAAAAAAAAAACTAAACATTTTGTAATTTTCTCATAACTGAAAACCATCCAAAGTTTAGATGATTTTGAAAGTTAGATTTAGACACCATCCAAGGTTTGACAATAATAACTGTAAGGAGTATGGAGTTGGCAGGTCCATCATCTGTTATATTAACATTTTCATTCCTTTGAGACGGAGATGACGTCTACATTTATTTATTTATTTATTTATTTTTTTTTTTTTTGAGATATATAGAAGAGTTGTTACATTCTTGTACAGCCACTAGTACGCGTAGCATTTCGGGCAGTTTCCTGGAATACGATCCCCACCGCGAAGAATCGTTTACAACCAAGTACTCATTTTACTGTTGAGTTAAACAGAGGCTACAGTTAAGGATTTGTGCCCAGTAAATCCTCCCTGGCCAGGATACGAACCCATGACAAAGCGCTCGCGGAACGCCAGGCGAGTGCCTTACCACTGCACCACGGAGACTGGTAAAATAACTCGGCGGATGTTCCATAGGAACATAGGTTATGTCCAAAATTAAAATATTTGTTAAAATTCAAGTTTTTACCCAATTTTTATGGGACTGGTTTTAAAATGTGTGCCAATGTCTTCCCATTATATTGCAAACTGAGGTGAAAATTGAGGTGAGAAACATGAAAAAGAGTAAATACATTTGGGAGCAGGTACAGTATTGTGAGTGTAATTACCTAAGTGTAATTACAGGATAAGAGCTACGCTCATGGTGTCCCGTCTCCCCAGCAATGCTTGTCATATAACGCTTTTAAATTACTAACGGTTTTAGCCTCCACCACCTTCTCACCTAACTTGTTCCAACCATCTACCACTCTGTTTACAAAAATGAATTTTCTTATATTTCTCCGGCAGCTTTGTTTCATTAGTTTAAATCTATGACCTCTTGTTCTTAAAGTTCCGGGTCTCGGGAATTCTTCCCTATCAATTTTATTGATTCCTATTACTATTTTGTACGTAGTGATCATATCACCTCTTTTTCTTCTATCTTGTAGTTTTTGCATATTTAATGCCTCTAACCTCTTCTCGTAGCTCTTGTTCTTCAGTTCTGGGAGCCACTTAGTGGCATGTCTTTGCACCTTTTCCAGTTTGTTGATGTGCTTTCTTAAGATATGGGCACTACACAACCGCTGCACATTCTAGCTTTGGTCTAACAAAAGTCGTGAACAATTTCTTTAGTATTTCTCCATTCAAGTATTTAAAAGCAATTCAGAAGTTAGAAAGTGTAGCATAGGCTCCTCGCACAATGTTCTTATTAATGTGGTCCTCAGGTGCCAGTTTTCTATCTAGAACCACCCCTAGATCTCTTTCTTTGTCAGAATTCTTTAAAGATTTCTCAAATAATTTATAGGTTGTGTGTGGTCTATGTTATCCAATTCCACATTCCATAACATGGCATTTATTCACATTAAATTCCATTTGCCAAGTGGTGCTCCATATACTTACTTTGTCCAGGTCTTCTTGAAGGGAATGACAATAATCTAAGTTTCTTATCTTCCCTATTATCCTAGCATCTTACATAAGAGGTGTTATCTTAGGGTGTGCTCAACAGATGGTGTTGACATCATCACAATAATAATGAACACATATTATGTTATTAAATTCAGGCTTTGAGTTATTTGAAAGTCCCTTTCCTAGCAGATCATTCACCTACTGCCCCCTATTTCCAAATTGAGTTTTATCACATTCTTGCAAGCAGTGATATACTGAGAGTGGCAGCATAGAGAACCTTCTGTACTGTTCCTGTAATCACTGGAGAACCTTGCATGGGTCTGGCTTGGAAGTGGTCCTCTTGTTCCCCCAAGGGTTCTCTCAGAATCAGGCAGCTTTTGATATCCTCCCCTTTTCTTTGTTCCCACATCTAAGAGATGTTGACCAAGAGTGTAGTTTGTGAGACATTGGCTTTGGGTATAGTCCTATCTCTTTGTGGCAAAAAAGTGCTTCATCAAGAAGTACCAGTGCAGCATTTTATCCTGCCCATATGATCCTTTCATACTGGCAGGATGACAATATGATGGGTTGAATGAATTATTTTATAAGTTAATAGAATTAATAAAACTAATCATACTGATTTCATTAATGTGGACACACCCAGATCTTATTTTATGAAAGAACAGAATCTCAGTTTATGGTGTAATGAGGTCATCCATGCGAAATTACTGACATCGTTTCACACACACAATGCCAAAATATACTGTATCTTTATTTTTCCTCTGCAGATTGTCAAGATGATGGATGAATTTGATGGTGTGATAAATCGCAAGAAGAAGAAGGCCGGCGGCAAACAACGTAAGGGGCTCGATGCTCGACCTTTGCTTGCTGAAGGGACTGGTGGTGGTGTTGGTGAGAGTGTTGACGAGGAGGCAAACTACCTCACCGTCACCTCTGTAGAGCTTCGAAACTGGTTTCGGGGGATAACTGGCCATCGCAACACACAATCTTCTAACACCTAACTAGATAGTGTATTAGTTATAGGAATAAAATATTAACCGCATGAAGGGACAATTCAGACGGGGTCCTTGTTTAGCTGTAGTGATTCAATAGTTAACATGTATCCAGGATTTTTGTAATACTGTACTGTACTGTATTCTCTATTGTGCCTTTACATGTGTCAGCTCATGTGAAAGCTGTAATATTTTGCTACTGTATATGTTTCACAATAATAAATAAACTTTCATATATTACATCTCACAAATAGCACAGGAAAATATGGTAATATAAATGAAATTAAAAAATATTGTGTGTGCAGCAAGTTGAAAAATATAATGTTTCAATTCTTTTAAATGTTCAAATTTGGCTCTTAGTTAATTTATTCTTAGAATATATTCTTTTTATACTATTAATCTTGATTAATTGCTTAAATAGAATTTAAATTTTTCTAAGATTATTTAAGGCAGATCCTATTCTACAATACTCTTGTTAAACATCTCACTATTATGCCTTTAATACCATGGAGTTGAGATTCACTATACGGTATGTGTAAAATATTGCATTTGGCAAATGACTGAATATGTATTAATAATGTGCAATATATTGACTCATAGTGCAAATGTTTGTAACTTTGCATCTGATGTGTCACTTAGATTGTGTTGTGCGACTTGAGGCCACCTGCACCAACTTTCGTACAGTGATTTGTTATAAAATACAATACAGGGTATACAAGTGTTATATTTAACATGTAAGCTTCATTCATCATATACAGTAATTAGAACAATTGAGTTTAGTTTCAAGTCATAATTTGTAATAGTGTTTGGGAATGGTTTTAAGCTATCCATAAAAAACTTCGGTGGTTTTAGGTCTATACAGGGTTCTACATGACTCATCCTCAAATGAGGCTCCCAGACAGAGCCAGACAACAAAGATATAAGAATGGTATGGCAGACAACGGTGTCTTTGAAGAGAAGAGTGAAGGGTTGAAGGAGGGTTAGGAGAGGTTGAAAGAATGAAAGGTTTGTGCGGTGATAGAGCCTGAAGGAGAAACTTCTGTTGTAGACACCCCTTGATAGGGAGCTTCCAGGTGTCAGGTCTAGGGTTCAATTCTCAAGCAGGGTAAGATGTTTGGGCACATTTCTGTCAACCTGATGTGTCTGTTCACCTAGCTTGGTAGTTAGGTAGTATATGTACAGTATGTATTTGGTAGTTAGGCAATAGTTATTGGTCGTATACTGGGGAAGGTCAGTTGTAGACCTTAGGAGAACTTTGGTAATCTTAACAGGCTTTCTGTCCCCGACAATCGGAAATGTAGATTCAGAAAGGTACCGTAAGTAAAAATATAGTTTCCATCATATTTTGTTTATGAATTATTTGGGTGTGTGAATATGAGCAAAGATGTGTTTGATCATTTGTAGTAAGGTATTTTTTTGTAATACAGTACAAAAAATAGTGAGAAATGCCTAAAACCTTGGTACAGTGAAAGTCTTAAAAGTTTAGAACTAGTCAGTCTCGGTTAGGCCATTCCGTTAAGGTTACACTGTGCATTATTTTAAAACTTGTAATAAAATCAGTATTTCAGTTGGTTACTTTGTACCTTAAGAAGATGGCTTAATGGCACTTCTTGTACTTGTCCGAAGTGATGTGTGTATTAGTGGCTTTATTTAACAGGCAACCCCTATTCCTTCAAATATAACTAATATTTTATGAATAAAATATTTTATTATTATTATTAATGCAGATGAAGAGCCACAATAATGTGGCTGAAGATATGACGACCAAATTGCCCATCAGAAAATTAAGAAACGACAACGTTTCTGTTTGTCGTCTACATGACTTGATAATAGTCCAGGACAGACCAAACATTAGTAGTTTCTTAATTCTCTGATGTGTGGTTTGGTCATCATTATTATTAATGTGGCTGTCATTTCTGAGGATTCGTGAACTTTCCTGGGGCAGCCCCTTCGACATCCCGGAGCTATCCAGGCTGATATGCATATACTGTATTAGACTTTGGCATCAATGTAAATGGAGTTCTAGGCCTACCAGGGACCATGAGCCAGAACCTGGTCTCCCCTCAGAGAGGCATGAGGAGCAATGCCTATAGAAATGCACATGTGGTTATGGAGCATTCTATGTCTGCCATCGACCGGGTCAGGCACCCAGAAAGGTAAACGCCCCAAAACAAACCCCTATTCTGGTTGGAACTACTACTGAAAGTCAAACGAGTGGACAGAACTCGCCAAATGAAAATGAACAAACGAGCATGACGTCACCACTGTGGCGTGAACTACACATAAGGGACATAACTGGCCGACCCTTCACAGTGTTCAAGAGAGAACTGGATAAGCACCTCCAAAGGATACCTGATCAACCAGGCTGTGACTCGTACGTCAGGCTGCGAGCAGCCGTGTCCAACAGCCTGGTTGATCAGTCCGGCAACCAGGAGGCCTGGTCGACGACCGGGCCGCGGGGACGCTAAGCCCCGGACGCACCTCAAGGTAACCTCAAGGTAAGGTAACCACACCGCTTGTCTGCGCAACCCCCACCCTCCCTGGGAGGGGGAAGGGGGAGCCCCAGACCCTTGCACTGGTGATCCACCCTGCAGTTCTTTACCTGATGTAATAGGCAACGATCGTGTGACTGGCTCCTGAATTCTGTCCTCCAGCTCTGTGCCTTGTGGTGTTGAGCGAGCAGTTCTCTGGTGGTGCGTGAGCCAGGAGTAATCTCACAAGTACTCAGGTTGCATGCGCCTAGGATCACCTTCCCTAGGTGCCCTGCAAGTACTGCCCTTGAGGCTTGGGGGCCACCTTCCACAAGTCACCTTGGGATCTACCTCTGCTTGGTCTTTTGCTGCTCGGTGATTGACTGCACTTAGTGTGCTGGGGTGATTTCTACACCCTTGTTTGCCTTTGGGAAAGGGTAGTTTGCACTTGTAGGGGCACGGGGTACTTTAAAGTTAGTTATCACCTCTCATAGTGGCCGGCGTGGTACCTCCACTAGATCCCCGTGAGTGGACACATCCCGGGGGTGCAGCTTTTAGTGGATCTCTTGGTAGACTTGGTTGCCCCTTAGCAGTACCCTGCCTGGGCTTTCCTTGGCAATACCAGTCTAAGGGCCCTGGGAATCCCCGCAGGGGTGCATGGGTCTGATGGATGTGATCCCTAGAGCCTTGTGCGAGTTTGAGGGTTGCTCGGTCTCCTTGTCTCAGGGTGTGTTACGGACCCGAGTCCAGCGTCCGAGCAAGGAGCAGTAACAACTACGCCATCTGTGGGTCAGCTCCCGAAACCCCCGCCAAACGAACGACGACACCTAGTGAGGACAGCGTGTACTGGCCTCGAGGACCAGTTTCCAGTCTGGTTCAGCGCTCAACACCGCCGCTCCTGACCTCTGGTGAGGTGGTGCTCCGACGACAGCGCCATCTACGGAGTGGATACGTCAGGCGTTAGTATCTGAGCCTGTGAGTGTGGTGTTTTAGTGTCCCTGTTATTGATGACGTGTCTGCTTACAGAGCCAACCTGGGACCACTGTGTTGAAGGTGTAGTCAGTCTACCCGAGGCAGCCAGTCTCCATACTGTGAAGTTTGCTGCAGCTGTTGTGACGTCGTCCCCCCGGAAGAACACTGTGGTGTGTTAAGCCTGCCAGTGGAGTGGCAGTGAAAGGATTTACCCGGGACCGACGGTTGGAGACGATAATCCACTGGGGTATTGAGGACAGGAGGGTGATTGGTGATATCACACGAGACTCCTGTCTAGGGCGTACCCCTTTTATCGCTCGTGGAGTGGCCGTACCAGCCTTGGTGGCTCAGTACCTGCCAGCAGACCTGCTGGACGTGTGGTTGACGGCCTCCACGACGGTGCCCCCAGTGGACCTGTGTTGTGGCTGACCTGTGGCCAGGGTAGACTCGGCGTTCTCAGAGGACACGTCTTGAGGCCACGAAGAAAGCACCGCGGACTCAGCACCTAGCTTCGAGGATCCATAGTCTCCAGCAGAAGACTACAGTGTTGATCCCCTTTGTAAAGTGTTAATACCCCTCCCCCTTGTGTACTCTTTTATTATATATATTTAAACGGTGATGGTGAACATTATATTATATTAAGTTCTTAGCTTTCTTTCCCTACTCCCTTTAAGTTACTTGCGTCACGGATCTCATCCCTTGATAGCCACTACTGGCTTGGGAACGGATACATATATCTTCCTCTAACAACACCAGAGTGAGAACCCCGTTGCGTCCCGAGAGGGCCGTAACAGGGTGTGTCTCACCATTTTTGCCTGTCATGCTGCCTGTTGGGTCGGTGACACCTTCGACCCAGAGTCCTGCGAGTTTTGTTGCTTGTTAGTGATTCAGTTTGCCTGGTCCACTGATGATTCTCTTAAGGTGCAGGCAGCTCAGGCGTTTGGGTTGCTGCAACTTGTTAGGTTGCTTGCTGTCCCGGAAGCCCCGATGCTCTTCCGTTTTGGTTATAGGGACCCGGAGTTGGGGGCTTGGGGGTGGTAGTTGCTTTGACTCTGGTTCAGTCTGCGCCCCTTTGTCCTGGTCGGATTTGGCTTCCTGCTGTGGTTCATTCTATCCCCCCCCCTCCCCTTCGCTTCCGGCTCCAAAGTGTCTGAGGACTTTGGGGTTGGAGCAGGGTTTAGCTGGTTTTGAGACTGGCAGTTTCAGGGGATGCCCCTTCTGGGGTGGTGATGGAGCCATTCGAGTTGGTTTCTCCAGCTGTGGCGTCTGGGTCTGACCAATGGGCCCCTTTCCTTCCTGCCTTTCCGGCTGCTCCTGATTTTTATTTTGAGGCTGGGGCTTTGGAGGACGACTCGGCCCCAGGTCCTGATGTGGAGGTTCCTGGGGCTGGAGAGGGGTTGAC